GAAGGACGTGGAAGTGAGGGAACTTGGAGAAATAAATAGTGATGTCTTGAAAAGAGTTTGTATTCTAGAAGAGGGGTGCTGGCGGTCTTAAAATGCAAAAAGGTACAAGTAAATCCCAGGGACCTGATCAGGATCAAGTTCCCAGAAGTTTGTGAGAAGTTAGAGAAGGGATGGCTGGGCCCCTTGCTGAGATATTTGTAGCATCGACAACTCTGATGAGGTGCCAGAAGACTGGAAGTTGGTTGATTATTTAAGAAAGGTGTAAGAAAAAGCTAGGGAACTATAGACTGATGAGCCTTACTTCAGTGCTGGTTAGTTGTTGGAGGGGATTCTTAGGGACAAGATTTACATGCATTTGGAAAGGCAAGGACTGATTCGGGATTGGCAACATAGCATTGTGCATGGGAAACCGTGTCTCACTAACTTGATTGAGTTTTTGGTAGAGCAAACAAAGAAGATGAATGAAGGAAGAGTGGTAGATGTTGTCTATATGGACTTCAAAGCATTTGACGAGGTTCCAAATGGTAGACTGGTTAGTAAGGTTAGATCACATGGGATCCAGGAGGAGCTAGCCATTTTGATACAAAATTGGCTTGAAGGTAGGAGGCGGAGGGTGGTGGTAGAGGGTTGTTTTTCTGACTAGAGCCCTGTGACCAGCGGTGTGCCACGAGGATCAGTGCTGGGTCCACTGCTTTTTGTCACTTATGTAAATGATTTGAATGTGAATATAGGAGGTATAGTTGTAAGTTTGCAGATGACACCAAAGTAGGTGGTGTAGTGGACAGTGAAGAAGATTATCTCAGAGTATAACGGGATCTTGATCCAATGGACCGAGGAGTGGTAGATGGAGTTTAATTTAAGTAAATGTGCGCATTGCATTTTGGTAAGGCAAACCAGGACAGGACTTATTAGGTTAATGGTAGAGCCCTGGGAGTGTTGCTGAACAAAGAGACCTATGGGTGCAGGTGCATAGTTCCTTGAAAGTGGAGTCAGGGTGGTGAAGAAGGCATTTGGTATGTATGCCTTCATTGGTCAGTGCATTGGGTTTAGGAGTTGGAATGGCATGTTGTGGCTGTGCAGGACATTGGTGAAGCCACTTTTAGAATACTGCGCACAATTCTGGTCACCATTCTTAGGAAGGATATTGTTAAACTTGAGAGGGTGTAGGAAAGATATACAAGGATGTTGCTGGTACTGGAGGGTTTCAGCTATAAGGAGAGGCTGAATAGGCTGGAGCTATTTTTCCCTGGAATCTCAGAGGCTGAGGAGTGACCCTGTAGATGTTTATAAAATCATGACGTGCATGGATAGGTTGAATAGCCAAGGTCTTTTTTCCTAGGGGGTAAGTCCAAAACTAGAGGGCATAAGTTTAAGGGGAAAGATTTGAAAAGAACGTAAGGGTAAATTTTTCACACAGAGGGCGGTGCTTGTATGGAACGAGCTGCTAGAAAAGGTGGTGGAGGTGGGTACAATTAAACATTTAAAAGGCATCTGGATGGGTATATGAATAAAAAGATTTGAGAGGGATATGGGCCAAATTCTGGAAAATGGAACTAGGTCAGATTGGGATGTCCAGGCGGCATGGATGAGTTCGACCAAAGGGTCTGTTTCCATGCTGTATGACTGTTACATATGAAGACTGAACGGGCCATTGAGTATGGCTGCTGCTCAGTTGACAGCTAACTACTGCAGGTATGTTGGCAACATGGGCGCTTGTTTGTAGTGGAATGACTTTAACCCCCACCTTTCATAGAGAAGACTCCCTACAGTGCAGGGAGAGGCAATTCAGCCCATTGAATCTTTGCTGACCCTCTGAAGATCATCCCATCCAATCCCCATAACCCCACATTTAACATGGCCAACCCACCTAACCTGCACATCTTTGGACTGTGAGAGGAAACCGGAGCACCCAGTGGAAACCCACACAGACATGGGGAGAATGTGCAAACTCCACACAGACAGTCGCCTGAGGCTGGAATTGAACCTGAGTCCTTGGTGCTGTGTGGCAGCATTGCTAACCACTAAGCTACCATGCTACCATTTCCTGATGAAAAATCAAAATTATCAGCCTGAAAAATCAGGCAGCAAGTGAATAGGGATAGGTCACAATTGTTGGGAGTACTTTTGGATCATTGTTTCTCTAAATAATCCCTAATATTTGCAGAGTGAAGTCTGGTGATAGGGTCAGGATGTCAGTCATACAAATGACACACTTTGTGGGAACATGGCTATGTGATTTTAATTAATATTATACTGGGGATAATTGTAGCCTTATGCCAGGAATTGAAACAGGAAAAGGGTGACATTCTTGGCTAAATCTCGGATCTGGGTTCACACCCAGCCAAAGGACCAAAGACATCTTAGTTTGTTGAGCCCCAGGCTTGTATGAAATGAGTTTTAGCCATCTCGAACTAATTCCATTGGCCACGAGATTATATCTGGATACGATGATGCATGGATAATGTCAATGACAGTGAAAAACACAGGGAACTGTATCCTGCTTAGCCTGGGTGGGTTTATAAACTGCCAGAATGCCTGAAGAGGGGTGTTTCACTTCTCAGCTCTAATGTTATCATCTGTCTGAGTACAAAACAAAACTGCCATTCATGAAATACAAGCTGAACCTCACCACCTCTGACCTTGTTTATGATTCTTGAGCTGGCAGAGAAGATAAACTGTTTGACTTGAACAGAATGCTATTTTCCCAGTCCATTAGTACCCTAAAAACTTTTGACTCCCGAAAGGGTCTCATTCCATTATGTCAGCTATCCTCAGGTATCGCACCTCAGTGACCATACACAAACCCAGCGAGGATATCTTGGAGAGTGGCACAAAGTGGGCAATATCAAATCGGCTGCTCATTGCATTGTCAATGGAAATAAAGAGGAGATAGCTAAGAGGCAGATGATCCAGTTTTGCAACACCATCTGGAGAAGAAATTTTAGGCCCTGTCCTGGAGAGAGTCAGTGTCTGATATAGACTTCTGTCACCAAGCCATTTTCACATACAAGGACCAGAATCCTGAAACTAGATAATGTTCCCCTGAGATCAGGACAGAATAGGGATGGAATATCCTTCTGATGTGAATGATAGTGAGACCTGGGATATTTCAGGAAAATATCAGATTGTGGCAGGGATGGCCAATTGCAGATGGTTTATGTCCATATTCCTGACTTTCTGCCAATACAGAAGCTGCGGCAGGAACGAAACTTTATCCTGGCAATAATTTATAACCGACTAGGTGGTTAAAAATAATATTCAGCCAACATTGGTAAGTGCTGCAGATTGAAAAGTCATCCACATTGAAGGATATGTGTGATAATGTCCCTACCTCTGGGCTAGAAGTTCAACCCCACCAGCCCCGGTGTTGTGTGCTAGCTTATCCTGACAGGTTGAAGAACAATTTTAGGACCAGGAAAAGGGGCTCACATGCCACATTAGTAGTGTCCCTACCTTTGAGTCGGAAGGTCCAGGTTCTGTGGCAGGACCTGTGCCAAAAATGTGTCAATTCAGGGTTGATTCAGCATCCAGTGCAGGAGGCCACTCAGTCCATTGTGACTATGCTGGCCCTTTCAAATCACTGTTTAGTTGACTCCCCACATATAGGACTTTGGTTTTGAAGGTGGGTCATTGGACGTGAAACGTTAACTCTAATTCTCTGTCCACAGATGCTGCCAGACCTGCAGAGTTTCTCCAGCAATCTCCGTTTTAGTTTCAGATTTTGGTTATTTTGCAGAACGGTAGTAGTGTCCTTACCTCTGGGCCAGGAGAGGCCCGGGTTCAGGTCCTATCTGCTCCAGAGGTGTGTCACAACAGGCTGAATTAAAAAGAATATATAAACTGGGAGGGACAATGTATTTTGACCCATTCCCTGGTGCTGCCCAAGACCCTGAAACCAGAGGCTCCCAGGTTTGAGCTATGTCATCGAACAAGCAGCACCTTGGTATTCATTGGGTGGGAATGTAACGGAGGGCCCTTTCCTTTTCTGTGCCCCAGGCGGTGTGAGCTGTCCCGCAGCCCTCAGCACCCCCACTCACCGCATCGTCATCCCGGGCTCCTAGCCCCATTCCCATCTGCCAGCTCCATCCCTGCACCCATCCCCCACTCCCATCTCCAGTCCCATCCCTGGCCCTCAACCCTATGTGCATCCCCATCCACCAGTCCCATCCTTATCCCCAGCCCGAGCCATTAGCCACATCTCTGCCCACATTGCCATCATCATTCCTGCCCCAACACCCTCTATGCCCCCCGACCCTCATCCCAGCCCCAACTGCAACCCCATCCCAAACCCCTTATCCCCATCCCCATCCCGTCCCTGTCCCCATGCCCATCTCCAATCCCAGCCCCATCTCCATGTTCCCAGCGGTTCCCTATCCCCCTGGGTGCCCCCCCCACCCCAACCCTAGCGGTTCCCTGTCCCCCGGCACCCCCCAACCCCAGCGGTTCCCTGGCCCCCCCGCCAACCCCAG